CCGCCATGGGGGCCTGCCTGGGCGCCTGCTCCCTGCTCAGCTGCGTGAGTCCCGACCCCGCGCGCGCCCCGCGCCGCCGGCTCCTTCTCCCGCCCCGCACTGTGTCCCGTCTTCTTCCTCCGAATAGTTTCTTCTTTTTCCTTTCTCCAAACTTGTCTTTCTGGGCCCGCAGCCCACCTCCTCGCCCCTCGGGTCCCCGCCTCCCCCTGCGGGCGCCGGGGACAGCTGGTGTCCCGCCTCGGGTTACCGCGGGGGAGGGATTGGGGCGCGCCTGGGCGGGGGAGGGGAGTGCCCCTCGGCGGGCGCCCCTGCGGGGAACTGGGGAGACTGAGGCCCAGAGCGCGGGGTGGGAGTGGGCGCTGCGGCCCCACCTGGTCCAACTTGGGGACGCCCTCGCAGTGCGCCTCTCGTCTCTCTCCCGGACGCTCCGACTCTTTGTGTGGCCTGCCCGGTCCCCGTCTCTCTCTGCCGTGTGTCCTTCTCTGGCCCTCTAGCAGTCTGTCCGTTAGCCTGTCTGTCCCTGTTCGTCTGCCTCAGTTTGTCTATTTGTATTTGTCTGATAGCTGTCTCTGTCCGTTCGTTTGTCCGACTGTCTTTGTCCGTCCATCGCTTCTCCATCTGTCATTGTCTACGGTTCGGTGTCTGTCGGTCTGTCCGCCCGTTCAATCTTTCTGTCTCTCCGTCCTTGTTTCTGCCCCATTCAGTCTGCCTCGGGCTAACTCCTGGCCACTTCTCCAACGAGCCCCAGACCCTTCCCCTCAGGGCCCCAGAGCCACAATAGGGGTGGAGAGGAAGCCCCCTCCGCCTTTCTAAGCCGCCCTTGAGTGAGGTTGGTGTGGGTGCCACGGGAGCCCAAGTCTGGGTTGAAAGACCCAGGAATTGGGGGAGGCTGGGGTCTGTGCGGGGAGGGAGTACCTGGTCGCTTGGGCTCAGGGACCTGGGGGGCAGCCAGCCTCTGTTTTGGGGCTGCAGCCAGCACAGGGGAGGAGCTTCAGCCAGAGCCGGGCTGGGAGGCCCCTTCTCCTTTCCCTCTTCCCCTCATTAAATCCGAGGTTCATTCAGGCAGCCCCCTCCCCCTCTGCCCCAAACAAAGAGGAGCAGAGAGGAAGAGGGGGATCTGGAGGCTGCTGAATCCCAGGACTTACTTTCCTTTGTCTCTGAGTTGTGTGTGTGTGTGTGTGTGTTGGGATGGGGGTGTAGGGGCGGGAGCTGGGGGATCTAGAGATTTACTTTACAGCCGTTTTCTGAGAATGATATCTGCACAGAGAGGCTGTAGAGAGGGTCCCTGGACAGATCTCTTGTCCTCTCTGGGCCTCCATTTCCCCCTCTGTGAAGTGTGTGTGTGTGTGTGTGTGTGTGTCTCCATGTGTAGGAATCAAGAGCTAGTCCCTGAGATCCCTCCCTGAAACCAAGGCTTGGGCTGGGTCCGGCCAGGAAGAATTTGCTTCCTGGTGGAGGAGAGAGAGCTTTCTCAATGTTGACCAGATTTCCATCTGACTGGCCTGGCCTGGGGTGGAGATGTTGAGGGAGACTTGCCAGTCCCCTGTGTCTCTGTCTCCCTATCTACCTCCCTCGTAATGCTGTTGGGAAGATTAGAAAGTGCCCAGCCCGGTTCCTGGCATATAGTGAGTGCTCCAAATGGGAGCTATTGTTATCATCTTGGAGAGGTGGGTGGAGAATTCCCTCTGGAGCCAAGTGCTGGTCTCTGAGTCATAGAATCCTACAATGCTGAGACCAGAAGGCACCTGACAGGTCTGCTCAAACCCTCAGTTTACAAATGAGGATACTGCAGCCCAGAGAGGTTAGCAGACTTGCCTAAGTTTGCACAGTGAAAGCATGGGGAGCTGTACAGTCAGGATTAAAATCTGACTCCTGGTCCAGGCTTCTGCCCACACCTTCCCTACCTCTGAATTCTGCGTGCCTAGCCAGGGTAGAAGTGGAAGGTTCACTTAGTATCTATTATCTGCAAGGGACCTGCCCCTCCTTTCAGTGGCCTCCTCTTGGGGTCCTGCCCTCTGACATTTACTGAGCACGTACTGCATGCCGGGCACTGTGGCGAGCTCCTCACCCCTGCCATCTCCCTGGTTTCCCCCCGCAACCCTGTAACATGCTTATCCTATTTTGCAGATAATGATACCAACAATAGCCACCTTTACTGCATCCTTACTCTGGGCCCAGCACTCCTGCCCAGAGCTGTCCAGTGGTGGCACAGGCCCAGCACTGTAGTGAGCACTTTATATATGTCCTTTCATTTAATCCTCACAACGACTCAATGAGGCAGTTAATATTCCCATTTCACAGATGAGGAAACCGGATCAGAGAGGGAAAGTGATTTTCCCACAGCCACACAGTATTAAGAAGTGCAGTTGGGCACTACTGGACACTGATAACAACCTGTTTCAATGGAGATTTGCCCCATAGGAGTGATGTTCTAATGAGGGTTCCCAGGCATTCTTAGGGGGAACATTTCAGGGTACACAGGTCGGTGGGGAGGCCTTTTATGCCCTTCCAGCTGTGATGTACTTGCATCTGCCCTTCATGGCCTTCCTGGTCAGTATTTGTACTGGGCTGAAGGTGAGTCCTGGCTTGGAGGGGTTAAGATGGACCCACAATGGATGGGAGTCACCGGGCAGGCCAGCGTGTGAGTTGGACGATCAATAAATATTTAGTGGG